TCTCAGGATTATGTGCAGCCTGGGCAGCAATTTCTTCATTTTTGGATACCCTATGGCCCCTGATTTATTGCCAATTAATAAAATTGAAGTGTCATAATTCACGAGGCGATCTCTGTAAGCTGTCTACTCAGTTGTAATTGAGTATTAAAGGAGAATGTGTTAAGGATTGGAAATCAAAAGATAAGTTCTTGAATACTATATCCCAATGGGATGGCCTTGACTTAAAGCTGCTCTAGGAACAATCGAGACAGATGCTCAGGGCTATGACAAAAATTACACTTGTGATCAAAGATTTCATTTTATTTGAATATTTATATATCCTTGCAATAATTATTACAAATTTACTTAATTCTTTCTATCTTACCACTAAAAGTAAAGTATAACTTTTAATAAAAAAAAACTTCTAATTACGAGGCTATGGCATTAGTTCATTAATTTGAGTTATCATTAGAGGCTGGACAGCACAAATTAAATTATTCCTAAGAGTAAGAGTTCTCTAGCGACACTTCAGTTCTCAAAAGATAAAAAAAAACTAATAATACAATAGCATGTAGCCCCGATTTATTTTATCTAAATGGTATCTACAAATTGTATTAATTAAATAATTGATGTACTTAAACATGTTAAAAAATATATTTGTGGTTTTTCATATAAATTTCTGTAAGATATTTTGGGCGAAGACTAAATAAGTTATATTGGGAACTCCCACCAATATTTTGAATAAGTTTGAACGAAGTCGCATTACAAAAACAAAACGAAACAACCAATCTATGTAGTTGTCTCCTTTGATGTTCTTGTGGAACCTTTTATTAAAGAACCAGTGACATGATCACATTTATATTTTATTATAACACACAAAGCTCTTGGTCTAGCATAATAGACTGTAGCCTTACTTATTGTTATTAGAAAGGACTTGCTGACGTAAGTCCTAAAAAGGATATCAAAACATTAAATAAAATTATGTGCTGCTAACAAATATATTGCTCTGAGTAGGTGACCCTTCTGAAATATGGCTTTAATCGAGTTGGAAACATAAAGCTCCTTTATTGCTTAGATCAATTGAATAAACCGCAACGCAAAACAAAGAGAAAACACTTTGATGGAATACACATTGAGTCGCTGAAATGTCTGTTGTCCCGACAATGACGATGACGATGACGATGACGATGATGATGGGACTGGTGACGACGATAAGTGCGTCCGATATCGGGGCCACAGGGCGTAGTTTCGGGACAGGATGAAGTGAAATGAAATGGGATGTGATGTGATGGGTTGCGAGGACGAGGACGAGGACGAGAACCCTTGATTGATTGATGACGAATCGGGCGTCGTAATTCACGTTGAGAGGCAAACAATTTGCGTCGCCTTCAGCGCGAAGGTGAGGAAGTGAAGTGTTCGCCAGTCGCTTGTTGCTTGGGAACATTTTTTCCGAAAACTGCCTACCACCGCACTCACAAACACACACTGGAGGGTGTCAGACATAAGGGGACTAGGACAAGGCCGGAGCAGAATCATGGCATTATATCGCAATAGTCTGCCGTGTGGCATAGGCCACGAACCATGGCTCCTCGCCCACTCCTACCACCCACCGCCTACTGACAACAAAAGAGGGGCAGCAGCAAAAAAGTTAAGCAGAAATTGTTTTTCCAGAAGTTCGGTTGCGCTTCGGTTTGGTTTGGTTTGGTTTGGAGTTGAATTTCCTTGGCGAGGCACAAAAAGCCCCGAATAGCGATTTTTTCACGTTCAACCCCCCACACACCCCACCTCCTTCTGGCTTAAATATGTGTGTGCGTGTCGGCCTTGGCAGCGAGGCGAGGCGAGCGTCTGCCTGCCGTCTGCCGACTGCCGGAGCTCTTTCTTTCGCCGTGGCCCAGAGTTCAAGTTCCCCAGCCAGAGCCCACCCAAGGCCTCGCAACCCACTTTGCCATTCATCGAACCCAATGGCAACTTGTTGATTTTCGTATGAAATTCACATGCAAAAACCAAACCAATTTCGCCCTTCATTGGCGCTCGCCGGTCGGCACTCTCCTTTCATTCTTTCTTTTTTGTTCCATTTTTCCTGTCCTCTCTACTTCGTTGTGTTTGTTTTGCGTGGCTTTTACCCAGTGTTTTTTCTCCACACTTTTCCGGCAAACTAGGCTGCTCCGGCATCGGCCAAAACGGAAATCAATAATCGATTTCGATGTAATGGTAGTCCTGCTTCCTCGTTTAAAGGAACACCTTAAATTCGCTTATTTTACATTGTACCTTGTGGGTTCGTTAAAGAGTTTCCTTCTTCTGGCTCTTTATAATTTTAATAGATTTCAGTGGAAATACACGATTTTAAAGTAAAGGACATTATCCAAAGATGATTGGAGGCCGAAATAAACTGTTATCTTCTTCTGTATGTATTTCATTCGTTTTAAGAGACTTTAAATATCTTCTGAGACCCAAAGGTCTTTAGCATTTTAGCCAGCAAATATCTTTTTGCTGAAACTCGATACAAGAGCCAAAAGCCATAACCACATGCCACAATTTTCTGCTGGCTCATCAATTGTAAGAACGGCTCAAGTAATTCTCTCGGACGTTTCACGCCAAAGTGAACGCAGACGACACCCAATCAAAGAGTTAACCTGGCTAACCAACACACACAACATAATAAAGACAGTAAAACTGAGGAAACTAATACCAATTAGGAGAAACCGAAAACGGAGAAGGTCAAAAGTGAGGCGCGGATACCTTGGTCCTCTTCAAAATTTTGACATTAATTAATTTCCGATTAGCGACACGGAATTTTTGTGCTACCGAAAATTCCCAATTCAATGGGTTCGAATTACCCTTGATTTTATTCTCGGATCTTTCGACTTTCGTCTTCTAATGCCGCCCGACACATGCTGCCAAGTGTGAACGACGTCACTTTAAGCCGCACTCCCAATATCCCATTTCCATTATAGCCATTGTATGGATTTTAAAATTTGCAAGTGATTTATATGGAAAAATTGGGGTGTATTGCTGACTCGTGAGCCTGTAGCTTATATTGATGGCACGACAAATTTGATAATTGTTGAAGAAAATTCAGATAAGATCTAAATATCTTAAAGCTTTTTAATAAATTGATACAAATATTTTATTCCATTCATACAGAAGGGTAAAGACTCTGTACTACGGAGCTTCAAATATTTGTTTTGTAAAATGTAACAAGATGTTAATAAAAATATATATTTAAAATGGTACATCAAATTTATTTTCAATTTAAATTTAAAGAAAAACAATCAATATAACAGAGAAAACAATGAAATTGCTAATATTTGCTAATTATGATCAAATTTATGGAAAACATAAATTAATGACATCGGAAAGCAGAAGATAATGTTGAGAATCAAGACAAATGTTGAAAATGTCTATTAACGTTTTGCTCAACACTTAAGTAACGACAAATGTTGATGGGTACATGTTGAGCAACATCCACTGACTTTGCTAAAGATTTTTGAGATGTTGCAGGAGTTCCATATACACAGAGAAAAGTTTCACCCAAATTAAAAAAAAAGTATATAAAATTTATACCTTAAACCGATATTCCCTATTGTAGATTAAAGTATGTTTTTTCAAGAACTTTGAGACCGGAAATGGGTGAGTAAAATTTTGAAAACAAACTTGCGTGCGAGGAGAGCGAAAGACTGACAAATTTAATGAACTCGATCGGACTTTACTGGTGATACTGATCAAGAATGTTCAAAAAGCCTTCTTCGGCACTTTAGATACTTTATCGTTTATTTATAATACAAAATGTATTCGCCCTAACTACTTTAACATATAATCAATATTAATCTGACTTTAAATTTACATCTAATATTAAAAATTCTAGGCTAAGCGAGTTTATCACATTGAACCACAAACCGAGACGTAGAAACTAACATTTACTACATCTGAAAAAAAGACATTTAAAACTAAACCCAAGTTCAACAATTAATTGATCTCGTTCTCTGTTGCTTTGAATTTCCTTCAAAGTCTCTATTTAACATTTAATTCTGGTGTGCTAGTTCAGTACATCGTGGATATATTAGACGAATTTCAAAGAATTTTCCACATAGTATGTATGGATAGGGCAGACTGCCTGGAATGCTGTAAAGTCTGGTTGCTGGGGGCCAGGGGCTCCTCCTTCGACTCCGGCCGGGCACAACTCATAACTCATCCGGATAACAACGGTGGAGGTCCTGCTTTTCTGTTTGCAGTTTTACTGCTGAAGGGCTGAACCGCCGTTGGTGACGTTTTGACACCATTTTCGGTGCGGCGATGATATGGCATTCATCTTGACAGCCATAACTGCCTCTGATGCCTGCCGGAGCGTGTGTGTGTGTGTTGTGTGTGGGGATGTCCGCTCGCATCCCGATGATGATGATGATGACGATGATATACTCCGTCCGTCCGCCGGCCCAGCCAACGTGCGTGAGTGTGTTGCGTTGCTGTGTCCGTGATGCATTTACGTCACTTACTTGAATGTTGCAATGCATTTTCGGTCACCCACGGCCGAAACACACCCAGGCACACACGCAGCTGCGAGGACACATGACAAACATAACACCACCCACCGCAGTGCCCGAGTGCAAGGACATGGACACAGAGGCCGAAGATGGAGGTGGCCGCTTCACAGCCAGAGACTGAAACATGTTGCGTCGTTGGCAGCAAAACCAAAAAATGTCCTTGACACTTAATTCACGCTACATTAATGTGAACTGAAAATAAATGAAGTTGTTCGTCGTTACTCGTTCCAACATGGCACAGTGGGATCACTCTTGGAGCATTCCAGTCCTTTGAAATAGTTTTTAAAATTGCATTTTTATGAGACCGATCACTTAATCACTAGAATGATGAATAATTTTCATTAATATTTAACTGTAGAATAAATTACATGACACTTATTGTTTCTCATTAATTTACGATTTGTAATTGTCCATTTTTCGTTACACCTAGATATTTTATCGATAGCTATATACAAGGGATACAATAGACAAACATCAATATAATCCAATGCCAAATTTCCAGTTTATTTAATGCAATACACTCTTATTGCTAACACGATTGATCATTTATTCATACTTTACAATTTCAGCTTCATAAATAGCATAATCTGATGTCCGGTAGGGATCTGAAAAGTATTGTTTTAATTTCGATGGACAGGAAGTTGATGTTGAGGCTAAAACTTACATTCACGGTGTGAGTTGTATGATTTCATGGACAGGCTTTATTACTTTAACCATGACGTTTATTTTAACTCCTTGACATCCATTTTTAAATCGTTTCGCAACTGTAGTTCGAACTATAACCACTTTTGAGCTGCCCATATTTTACTAAGACTGGATAATTTTAGCTTCTTTAACTTTACAAACTTAAATACAACAAAGGAGAAAATACATTTGAGTTATAAAGCAAAGCCTTCAAATTTAAGTGGATTGTATAAGTTACTAGAGATTATTTCAGGTAATGTATCACACAGTACATTTTATTTATAAATATTTCTATTATATTCTTAGGACAGTGTCCTTAAAATTCCTGAATTCCCATAATCACACTCAAATATCCAAACCAACTCGTTTCGAATCACTGTTCGCTGACTCCTTCCTAGACTCTCCCAAAAAATAGTGTACTGAAAAGCTTAACCTCAAAAACACTTTCCCGGCAATGATCTCTCTATTTCTACACACTCCTCCTCCTCCTGGCCCACGGTTTTGCAACACTTTTCCAGGCTCTCTGTCCCTCCAAGCTCCATCCTCCAAGCTCCATCCTCCATCCTCCTCGTCATCAGGCATCGGGCAAAGTGAAATGCAGGCAACACATTGCGTTCCCACTCCTGTGGACATGCTGAAAAAAGCTCGTAAATTACTGGACAATGTGGAGAGGCCATGCTGATGGGTGGCCACTGGCCAGGAGCAGGAGGAGCTTGGAGGTAGGAGGTAGGAGGTAGGAGGTCGGAGGTAGGAACGGGGCCTGACAAATATAAACATCAACAACAACGGAGCGGCAACAACTAGAACAACAACACTCATCGCTCATGTTGGTGATGATGCATTTTGCGGTCTGTCACACCAAATGCAATTTGACGGAGCTGTGCAAAAACTGTTTTTCGAGCTATCAACCAATTTGGCCACGGCTGCACGCCAGGACACACAGTGTCCACAGGTCCACAGGCCCCTGCATCTATCCTCACCAACTCCATCTCGCTCCACCTCCTTTCTGGATCCTGTCCGGTGCAGCCTCTGAATACGCTTCATGACGTTGTCCACTCTCCGGCACACACAACTCTAAATTGCACGATTTCTTTTTCAAAAATTGTTTTAACCATGAGAGTTATGATTTTTACCATGTAAAACAGGGAACCTAAAAATGAACTAAAAAATAATAGAAGTTGCGAACTATAGATGGGATAATGAAGATCGGATAAGTTTTAAAAATTGAATCAGTATGGTTCTGGGGATAACAGAAAATAATTAATTCAACCATCAGAGAATTGGGATACAACTACCGATTTCAGAGTAACCCGTTAACAACATGAAAATATCGTACATTTGACTATAAAATTCGTTCTTGATTTCTCGGTTTATTTTCCAACAAAATATTTCTTGTATTCCTTCCAGATTTACTATGGGTTCTGTACTAAACGAACTGTACTGACGAACTGAATGACCTTACATGCATTCCACTTACTTGTAAAACAATTAAAATTATTAAAAACTAAATGATAACCATACCAATTCGTGTTTAAAAACTCTTTACAAAGTGTAGTCCATATGCTGCAAAAGAATATTTTAGATCGTCAGTTATCCTGTTGGTATCCCTGTGATACTTGTCCTGTTCTGTTCGAGTTTTTCCGCTGTGGGTCCTCTCTAATGCCTCGTGTGTGCTTTAGTGCGTCCGTTTTTCGGGCTGATGTCCTTGTTGTGCCTCTGGGTGAGTGTGTTTATGTTGGCGGATTCATGTCGTCACTGCGTGAAATGTGTGTGGCAGATGAGGGGATGGTGCCCCAACCAGAGCCGGCTAGTTTTGAAATTTATGTAGTGTTGGTGAGTTGGTTTTATTCGTTCGCCTTTTTGTGGCCCTCGTTGTTTGTTATCTGCGCGGCCGGAGCCGGGGCGTTAGCATCATGACCAGTAACTGGCATTGTCCAGCGTCCCCTGTCCAGCTCCACATGTCACACACAATCCGAGCACTCCGCCGTCGGACGGTCGTAAATGTCAGAAGCGCGTGTAAATGTCTTCAGCTGCAATTATTTGGACTCCTTTCAGGGGCTTCCCCGGCTTTTGTTGGGTCGATTTTTGCTAGCCTGGCTGAGGAATACGTTGCGCATCCCACGCTCATAAATCACATATTGTAATTAAAGGGTCTGGGAGAGCCTTTTCATCTTATTGTACGAATTGTAGCAATGAAGGACTGCAGCTTATTTTCCAAGGTGCCCGAGCACATCAGTCAGGGAGTTTGCATTTAGCTGACTCAGTCCACTTTGTGCCCGCAATTCTGGTTCGTGCCACGCATCAATTTATTGCCGATCATCATGCAACGCGCCAAGTGGTTGAATATGGTAGATACCTATGTTCATATATAGGGTTGTGCGAACAAATCATGCCGTGTCACAATATTGACACACACAAGAGATATACTAAGGAGAGCTTTAAGGTCCTTTACTTAATATTTTCAATTCAGTCAAAAATAATCTTAATAAAAAGAAACGACTTTGGACTGCTACTAATGACAGCAACTGGGCCGTGCATTTAACTGGAAATGTAAAAGGTGAAACATTAAATTTCCTTCGTTGCAATGGGCCATCAAAAAAGTTCAAATTGAATCAGATCTCGCTTTACAATTTTACCCAGCAGCAAAGCATCTTCTGGGCTCTCTTTATTAAGCCACCTGTCCGCAACAGACATTGGTGGGCTATCATTTTGGCAAGGATTCCCCAAAATACTTCCGAGTGTTGCCTGATTTGGGTAGAACAACCACTCGACATCAGAAAGACAAACACATACATATGTTACGAATGGATGTATGGATGTACGGAGGCTGGGCGAGCAGTAGCGTTCCAGGGCCGTAATACCAAATGTAACGTAACTTTTTTCTGAGGGGGGTAAATTATCCAATTTTGTTCACTTGATTGACTGCACTTTTGATGCCGCTGCCATGGCCACAAAACCTCAATGCAGATGCAACAGCTCCCACTCTGGATTCCACTCCCATCGCCCAACCTCCATCCCATCCTTTTGGTCTTCGGCTTACGTGGCCAGCACCTCGTCCAGCTTCCTCGTCCAGAGTCCCTTAATGGACTTTCGCAATCAGCTGTCAATGCCTCGCCCAGCATCGCTTCGGTTATTTATTTTTGCCTCAGTGCCAAGTGTCACCGACTTTGCAGTGATTCCATCAATCAATCGCTTCGAATTATAAATAACCAAAACCTCCTCGGGGCCGCCAACCGCTGGCCAGATTGTGCGAATGCACTTAGAGAAACTACATATATAACTATATCTTATAAGGTAAATTGGGAGATTCTAAAACCTTGTAAAAAGCATTTCAATGCACACAAAAATTGACCATAATATTTTGAAGGCAACAATGACATTTAAAGCATTTTCAACACTTTATACAGCTACATATTCCCAAGATCATAGAAATTGCCTCAAGTTTCTGTTTAATAAACCTCAAATTATGTACACCCTTTCTCGCAGTGCACTTATGTGATTGAGAGAGAGACTGACCCGGGGCGTGCCTGTCCGAGCGGCGACGATGGTGACGATTTTGAAAAATTGCCAATCAAAGGAAAAACCGCAAAGAGTTCCAAGTCACGTTGCAGTTAAAATCGCAGCACTTCGGCCGTGTGCCAGAAACAAAGGACATCTCCTTTCTGATTCTGCCATTTGTGATTTCTCCTGTCGACTCTGTCGCTGGCTGTCCCTTATTATTTCTGACGAATTACTCACGGCCACTCCCAGTGACTGACAATTGTCCGATGTCACCGGCAATATGGCAAATTGTTTTCGGGGTGTTCAATTAATTGCTTCAATTGTTTCACATTAAGTGTGCTCTTGTTTCAGCTATAGAATCTATCGGAGTGGACCATCTGTATCTTGGATTGTCCAGCTTACTTGTCTATTCATAAGATAATTACAAAATGTTTTTAAATTGTAAAGTATTTGTAATGAAGATACATTCCTCCTCCGGTTATCGAATTGTTCAGAGATGCATAGATGCTTTGGGGAATAGAGGTAACTAGATCTTTAATTATCTTTGAATTAACAGGCTTGAAACTGAACTGAGAAGCATTTCGTATAGTCGAACACTACTTCTCGCCTTGGTAAAATATGGAAAGACCTTTTTTAAAATACCGTTAAAATATTAATCTACCATTGTTAAACTAGTTAATTAGCACGTTTAAACTCTTGCCTTAACGTAGACATTATGTATTATTCAATATTCCAATAAATTCAATCATTCACAAGCTTCGCTTTCTCTCTTTCAATCTACCGATCTCCGATGTCAAGTGCTTCGAATCAATCAAACTCGATTCGGGTTCGGGTTCGGGTTCGCCAACAAGCCTGATAAATGTGCCAAGACCCTCATCGGCCAGAGTATCGCATGTCTAATGATGAGAAAACAATTTCAATTTCAGAGAAGCACTGCGGCAAGATCGGTGAGTGTCTTGAGCATTGGCACTTGCGCAGTTATCGCTTATGTTAAATGAAAATTATATGTACATACTATGGGTGCCCTGGGTGCAGACAAATTTTTAAGTGTCTCGATAATGTCAGCATCATCGTGTGGCCGGGGTGGAATTCAATATTCGATTCCATCGAACTGTGCCGGATTTCACTGGATTGACAACCATCAGGCAACGTGAAAAAATTCAAAATAAAAAATCTGCGCAAACAACCGAATGCATTCGCTCTTGAGATTGTGATCGAGTTGATGAAGTGAAGCTCACACAGAGAACAATTTTGGAATCTTATTCAAGATGGAATGAAATAGGAATAGGATAATTTTGGTCTGTACCTGAGGGAAAGTGAACATTCCAGGGCTTCATTCGAATAATATTTACTGAATACCCAGTGGATTTGCTATCCAATTTTCTCGCTGTGCATCTCCATAGTCAGTCAGGCCAACTCGATGCCATCAATGTCATTATCAATATCAACAACATGATTGGACACAAAACTGAAAACGAAACGAAAACGCAACCGAGCTCGCTCCTCGGGGCAATGAATATGAGTCGAATCGATCTCTCGATCACCGTCTCCTACAATGGGTAAACACAGACGCACTAACTGCACTCAATCAAAAATTTGATTATTTTGATATGCACGGTGCTTGAGTCCCCTCAGCCCCCTCATTCCCCATTGATAATTCCCATCCCTCTGGCACTGGCAGAGAGGGGGAAAAATAACACCAAGAGCCAAGAGTATAAACACACGCATCGGCCTAGAACCGAGGGCCTATAACAACAAAACGGGCCAGAACCGCAGAGCAGAGAGCCTCGGACCATAATGCAGCTGCCTCGGAGTCAGATCTAGCTCAGCGTCCAGCATCCAGCATCCAGCATCTGCGTCTGCATCTCAATCTGCTTGTCAGCGTATCCATATCCATGATATTCGTGGAAATTCCACTTGAGCGCCTCAATTGTAAGAGAATACGAATTTAATTGCAGAACACAAACATCGGGAAGCCGCAGGATCAGCGGGGTGGGATGCGTAAATAAAGGGGAAAATAGGGAAAAATCAGGGGAAAAGGTGTGCCTCATCGTGTCTGTCTGCAATTAGGAAAACGAGCATTGAATGGGAATAATCGGAAGGTAACTGCCGGCTGATTTTTGTTAGATTTAGCAAGTACTTCCTGACTTTATTACAGTATATAGATACAATCTTAATCAGCATAGCCATCAAAAGCTAAAGTGGGACTACAATCTGCCACGGATCAGAAAATAATTAATAGAATAGTAAGTTTATAACTAAAAGGGTACAAATGTAGTACCTTAATCATCCAACTTTTGGTGATAAAGAATTATTTTGTTGTTATACTATTAAAGACCAAAAAACTTTATTGTACACTCCCCTACCAATATACCACCTTTTCACAATTAAAGAACTGCTGGTATAAACTTTGGCTTTCTAAGGTTAATGTATCTTCCTTCCTTGTTCATTTTTCTTAGATAATCAAATTTAAGAATTGGTAGAAGACTAAAAGTCTTTGTAGATATATTTGGGTTGCTAGTTCTTTACTTTATTTCCGAAAGTTTACTTAATAACTAAACTCGCCTAGGTTGACTCTTTCAGTAATGCTGATCAAGAAATATAGAAATGTTTAATGTTAGAAATACCTCTATTTCCGCATTGATATCCTATAACAATACTCCGTATTGGTGTATAAACAAAAGAGGTAATTTCTCTTTGACAAAAAAAAACCACAACATTAGAGTGGGGAAAAAGCTCATTAACCTTTATTTGTACACTCAACTGTTGCTGCACTCGAATGAATATTAATAACTGAAGAAATGAAACCGAACCAACAAGTCGAGCGAAACCCTCTCAAGAGGTGTACAGAGCTGGGATCGACAATCTATACACTATCGATCCGTTCGCCGGCGATCTGTCAAATATGTACGCCATTGTGCGAGTTGGACTCGTTTCCAGAGCCACTCAAGACTCGATTCGAGTCGAGTTTGGGATCTGACATGTTTGATTTGTGCCTGTGATTGATTGATTGCTGCGACTCGCGCTTACTCTGCCATGAGTTTCAAGTAATGATTTTCGATTTTGCGCAGGCCGCGTGATATAAAAACTCTCTTCTGGATTGGTTCCCACAAATAATGACATTGCGACTTTAACGCAACGAACATGATGGAAAAGGCCGCGTCCACGGATCTGGAAATCTGATTGACAACTTAACTGATCAGAGCTGGGATCTGGAATCAGAATCGGCGTTGAGATCGACGATTGAACTGAGAAACTTACTCCGTGCGTGACTCTGTTGCAACGTTGTGAAATGCCAATTGCTATACAATCTTATCATCGATAAAGGCTTGTTAATAAGTACAACGTTTAAGCTATGAATTTCAAGAGATTTTTGAAAACTTGAATTTAAAAGATTCCCTATTTAATTTACGATATAAACTGTAGTGCCAGACCAGCGAAATTTCATAAATTTTTATTACGTAAATGTGATGCAAGAAACAAAATTACATTTATCATATTTTACCATCATCATTTGTCGATTGCTCATAAATTTGCAATAAAATTAACTGCGATGGCATCAATTTGCCTTGTCTTTCAATGTTATTTAAACACAATTTAACGTATTGTGTTTCAATTCTTAGTAAAACTAATACACGAATTGACAATCATGAAGTGAATGCAGAAATCGATTACGATATTAGGTTTAGGTACCGCATGAACAAAGGTTTTTTTCATTCATTAACATATTTAAAACTGTATCCATAAATATATAAATTTAAACATTATAAACTATTCAGATTTAAAGCTGTTACGCTAAATATGTAAACTAGGGTCAAACTATCCATCAATATTGCTTATGTTAAATAAACTTTGTCAAAATGAGTTCTAAAAGAATAATTTAGAATTTAAATACTAGTTCATTTTTAGTAGTGAATTAATAAAACTTGACACTGACATTTGAATATTAATTTATTTTAAAAATTAATTTATTTCAGTGTATTGCTGTTCCTGTGAACTGGCATCACCATCGCTTGCCAATATCTGTTAACAAAACTAAAGGAATCCACGCAAAGTGAGTTAGTTATTCGGCCACTCGTCTTGGACGACTTCGTCCTCGTCTGGGCCAATATCTTTAGCATCTGCGTCCATAAATAAGCCAGGGACAGTAGAATGTTTCAACACAAGGGCCTCGCCTCGAAGTCTTTTGGCCATCTTGACATTCGTATAAGTGAAGGAAGCAACCGAAACAGGCCCAAACTTGGTTCGTTTTTGGTTTCTCGGCTTGGGTCACGTGCACCATTATGCATCGAAATGTGAAGGAATTTGCATCAACCTCCAGTCGATTGGTAGATTATTGGAATCTTTCTCAGGGTTCGAGTGCAAGAGGAACTTAATTATAAATACTTGAAGACGGATCAATTGAGATCATACCGATCTTCGGGAGCAAAGGAAATAGAATAGAAATAAAGGTGACTAAAGTTGTGGTATCTAAGACTTACGCAATTAATTGCCGAAAATAGTGTGGCCCTGTACAAGTAAGAATGCCAATTAGACACCTCGCTGAATCAATTGACAACTTTGGAATTCAATCCAAGCAAATCTCAGCAGATGCCAGCCCAGGGACTCGTGAACTGTCAGCATCAAGCTCCCAAAAAAGCAGAGAAAACAAGGCAGAGAAGTGAAAAACAGCCTTGCGTGTATGTCGCGTACTTTGATATCAGCCAAGAGGAATCTCCCTTGGCCAACGCCAAACAAGCTGGACAAAATGCAGACAGAAAGTGAGAAGCGGAGAGATTTTAATTACATCTACCACACCGTACTGTACTGCGGTAAGACTGGGCCTCGTTCGACTGCCTGGCAATTATTTACATTAACACGATCACAACTCAGAGACACTGCACATGCATCATCGTGTTGCGATGTCGATCGAGATCTCCAGACTCCAGCCTCCGGCCTCCGAGTTGGAGTCCGACTCCGACTTCGACTCCGACTCCGACTCCGAGGCAGACAACAGTCGCTGTCTGTGTGCCTGCCATGTATGCATATTAATTTATTGGAATCATGTTAGTGAGTCGATATTGATACAAATCCATTTTCGATCGCGTTTCCCCGATACCAAAGGCTGGGCCAGAGGGACCCGCAGACCCATGCTGGGTGCCCCAAGTTGGCAGCAGACACTACCAACTACCTAAACGCTCTCCTCCCAGCATCTGTGGGCAGAAGCTGCCTTCGGTGCGCCTCTGGCAGCTTCTGTTTCCGCCCTCCTCTGCACGGATCCGCAGGTTCTCCTTAGTCCAAAAGCCCCTTTACACACATATCTACATATATCGCATGCTCAGCGACCGTATTGAGCGTTAATCGTCCCGACTATCATGCGATTACGGAGTAAGGCTCCTCAGAATGGAAGCATCTCCACTGTGACAGCTGCGATGTTTGGGCACCTTTTTTTCTAATTAAACTGAAATTTAAACATTTGATTTACGACATCAAGCAGAGATTCCTTAAGGTCTTGTGTGACGAGCAGGTCCAGGAGATCAGGGGGAAGTCCGATAGTTAAGCGATGATTGAAATGATACTGATAGATAAAGTAGAAGAAGAGTTAGAGAAATCAAGAAGCACGTACAGTGGTTGTTCAAAGCGCTATTATTAGTTTTATTTAGTGTTCCTTATGTTCACCGCTCTTAAACGTATTCAATAGACATACTCCCCCACTCGGAAAAGCCATCCCTTCACACTTGTCTCAATGCCGAGTATTAATCTAAGCTTTTACTTTCGAGGGCCCTTTAAAAGTGTCCTATACAAAGAATATAAAAAAGACTAATAAACTCAATAAGTCATTATTTTGTGTATACTTCATTTACATGAAATTTATAATGGTTCACTAAAGATTGAAGGTATCAATGTTGAGGGTCTTTTTGAAGAATGTCATTATATCCGTGACCTCGCTAATGCGCATCTTAGTTGGCTTTCCAGCTCCATGGCCAGCATTGGTGTAAACTCTTAGCAGAATGGGATTAAGTTGGTATTCCGAATGCCGCACGGCTTCCTGGAGAGCAGCCGTAAATTTGAGGGAATGCAAGGGACTCACGCGATCGTCGTGATCCGCCGTCAGGATCAAGGTGGCAGGATACTCCTCGTTCGGGTTCAATGGAAAGTGAACGTTGTGCAAGGGTGAGTATTTGAACAGGTTGGCAAAGTGCTCCCTATCATCGGGATTGCCATAGTCCGAGCACCAGGCGTGTCCTATGGTAAACTTGTGAAACCGCAGCATGTCCATGACTCCAACTTGGGCAACTGCTGCTCCAAAGAGATCCGGACGCTGATTGATGCAGGCAGCCACCAAGAGACCACCGTTGGAGGCACCCTGTATGGCCAGACGATCCTTTGTGGTGTAATTGTTCTGAGCCAAGAACTTAGCAGCAGCCTGAAAATCGTCGAATACATTTTGTTTGTTCAACAATCTTCCGCCATTGTGCCAGTTGATGCCATACTCGCCACCTCCCCTGAGGTTGGGAAAGGCCAGGATACCGTCGAATGTGTCCATGAACATCAGGCCAGTGATGCCAAAGGACGGCATTAGACTGTAATTAAATCCACCATATCCGCTCATCAAACATGGTCGAGGCTGTAGAATGGTCCTTTTCTTTCGTACGATAAACATGGGAATGCGAGTACCATCCTTGCTCTTATAAAACACTTGCTCCACCACATAATCATCCCGGTTAAAGCCCTCTAGGTTTAGCGCGATTTCTCTCACGACTTTGGGCTTTTCCATCGGATTGGCAAAGTCGTAGTGATAGGTTATGCCTGGCGTCAGGAATGATGAGAAGCTGTAGAAAATGTCCGAAGAATTCCTTTTGCCTGAAATTGCATTTACAGTTCCAATATCCAAGCCGAATTGTCGGATAAGTGTTCCAGTTTTCAACTCAAAGGCTTGCAGAATATTCTTCACATCCCGATTGTAGCAAACCACGAGCTTGTCCTCATTAACGCACTTTGCCCAATCCAGAACATCCGTCTTATGTTCGGGTATCAGAGTTTTCCAGTTTTTCTCGGCGGGAATCGCAAAGTCGATGATCACCACCCGATATTTGGGTGCATCTTTGTTAGTATGGAAATACATTTTCGATCCCTCGTTGGTTATGTAAGCGTAGTCGGCCTCAAATTTGTCAACAATCGGCTTAACCGTCAGCTTAGAATTGATCTCCTGTCCCTCCTTCAAGTCGGCATAGTACACCAGGTTATCCCGGACGGTGTGGCCAATGCATATAATCAAGTATTTTCCACAGTCGGAAACATTGGTCTGAAAGTGCCAGGACGGATGTTCCGGAAACTCTGCCACCAATGTATCTTTATCCTGACTCTCCCCCACACGATGATAATAAAGCTTTTGGTTTTCATTCCGCTTCGTCTCGGATCCATCAGTTTTCCCCTTTTGGTCGGGATATCGGCCATAAAAGAAGCCCTTGTTGTCCTTCGTCCAGGAGGGATCCGAAAACTTTACCTTCTCTAGGACCTCTGGAAAATCCGTGCGTTCCTTAGTCTTGCGAATGCGTATTTTTTTCCAATCTGAGCCACTTTCACTCAGTCCGTAAGCCATATAAGCCCCGTCTTCAGAGAATTTCTGCTGGCTTAAAGCAATTGTCCCATCGTCGGATAGGCTGTTGGGATCGAGAAAGACAACCTCCGGGCCCTCCAGAGTCTCCTGTTGAATCAAAACACTTTGATTCTGGAGGCCAGTGTTCTTGAAGAAATAGATAAAGTCACCGTGACGCATGGGACATCCGTATTTCGGAAAATTCCAGAGCTTAGTCAGTTTTGTATCAATCATATTCCTCTCATGGCATCTCTCCAGAAACGGTTGGCTGATGCTGTTCTGGGCATCGACAAACATCTTCGTTTCTGTCGAATCGGGATCTTCAAGCCAACGGTAAACATCCCTGATTCGATATTCATGAATCATTTCTTCCACCTCAGTGTCCTTGCGAGCCTCAGGATACGCATTCCGAAAGTTTCGTACCTCTTCACCCGGAAAACTCACATTGTTCATGGGCCGATTGACCCGAATTTGTGGCCTCGACATCGTGACTTGATTTTCAAAAAGCACAAGAAGCTTCTTTTTTACGCAACGAAAAAAAAATTTTGCATTTTTTAATTTTGAATTTTGAATGAAGGTTCTTATTGAAATGACATTTCCGTAAGAAAGATAGGTTGATTTATAAAAATGGGACAGGAGAAATCTTTGAAAACCATATAGAAGAATTTTTTTATGATCAGCATATGTCTTTATCCATGGTGTTTAGTGCTACTTTCTACACTCATTGTTAAAATCTATGTAAAGTTTCTGCTGAAAAATATAATTTCTTCTGTTAGAAAATGTGAGAGCTAACCAAAGACACTGTCTGTCCGTCTGTGTCCGTAGTCCCCCTGTTAAGGTTTTTCGGACACATAAAGTCCCTGATAAAAAAGTTTGACTTTCTTATGAGCTATTTGAGAGCTAACATTACCAGGTAGCTTAATTCTCTGTCAACTTTTGTATCTGTTAAGTATTTTAAAATATTATCCGATAGAAACAAAGGATAACATTTTCAAATTAGGACAGTAATAGGAGGATTTACAACTTTGGATAGACGTTTTGATTTGTTTGTAGTCCTAACTGAGGTATTCCTTTTTTATATTATTTAGTGGATATTTACTTTGGTGTTGCTTTTTAGTCTTCATCGTATTCACCTTACAATGTAAGAGGGCTGAGGGATGAGGCTTACAAAGAGATGGTCGTAATGTTTTCTAACCAAGAAGAGGGGTTCCAACTGGACATATTGACGTCTATGGAACGCTCTACTGACTGCTGGTGGACCAGCTGTAAGCCTGAGCACGCTGAGCATGTCAACAAGTCGGCTACACACACCGGAGAATAGGTGTGTAGCCGGAGCTGAGCGGTGGGAAAGAAGCAACAAGTCAAGCGGGCTGACAGCCAACATGAGCGCAACAGCAGCGAGGAACAGCAGAAACAAGGGCTGCACTTGGAAAAATTTGTGGCTTTAATTGTATTTAGATGCTGCATTAGGGAAGTTTTTATATAAAAAGTATTAGCCAGCAGGTGCAAAATGAAAAATTTTTGAATTATTTAGAGCAAACGTTTTCATATAACTATTATTTAAAGATGAATACCAACTATAGATTTTAGTTGACATGTTCAAGGATTTTTCAAAGTTAAAAACTAAAACAAATCCAAACAGATCTAAAAACTTATTTGTAACCTATATTGTCATAAAAATAAACTTAGATCAATAGTTGAATATACCTTATAATGCGAGTATGGTGATTTTTTTGCCTTATAAAATAAATATTGTTTATTGAAAATCCTGACTAAAACCCAAAATTTTTTTATGCTTGTTGCCTTTTGGATAAAATAGAGAGAGAGAGACATATTTTAGCAAGAGTTATAAATCAATAAAATAAATAATTAATTAAATTTGCGTTGCTCTTTAAATATTTTGGTATCAACCATTTTACCCTCAGTGTACGATTTGGTAGCCTGCGATCATTCCGCGCTGTTGCGTCGATTGGTTGCTGTGCTCGAGGATCGTCATAGGGGGATTTGGGGCTCGATCGAGATTCTCAGCTTTTGCTCATCTTCATCTGCGCAGCGATCACAGCACTTCGCACAGCATCTCGCATATTTACACAACGCAGTATCTGTAACTGAGTATCTGAGTGCAGGGAGATGAAACCGAGTGTGTTTTTGTCGCAAATCGCCAAGATTGCGATCTCATTAAGGCGAATTATTTATGTTGCTGACTATGTTCTGGCCAGTTGCAGGTCTCGTCGATGCGTTCTCCGATTCTGCCCGATTTGACTGCGACTGCTTCTGCTCCTCCTGCATTCGTGATGATTATCACTGGGACAAAGTTGTCGCTCCTCGGAGCCGCTGCCTGGCTCCCAGTCAGCGATTTGCCAAACGTTTAAACAACTGCCCCGATCCCAGTTCGATTTCTGTGACTCAAATGTGCGATTAACGCTCCGCCTGGGCAATAATTTATGCCCAGTTGTCAATTGCGTTCAGACTTTTGTCACACGATCGGGTTTTAGTTAAACACAAGGAAATAAAATCAATAAAATATACATCATTTTGAACTTTAAGATTCTAGTATTATGCATTTTTCAGGAAGAATCATTCCATTAGATGTTTTAATTTCTCCAGAACCACTGCTTTAATTAATGTTCATGGTAATTTTGATGGATCTCACAACCTAATGAGTTGACATAAATCTTTGCTGTGAATTTTGAATCCACAAATGATTCGCCTCCATTCACATTCATCTATTTCCATTCAATGTAAGTAACGGGACACATGTGTACTTATAGCCATATATTTATCACCTTCGCTATCAGGTTTCGCTGCTCAGGAGGAAGCCGCAGAGCTCATCAATCTGGGACGAGACCCACCGCCACCACAGGGTCCATCTCCCAGTCAGCCGCAACAGATGAGAATGGTTTTGCACTCGGCCAGGATGTCCCTCGAGTCTAATCAGGCCGTAATTTGAAGGACAAGGCAGCAGCAGCCAGTCAACAACTTGCTCGAGTTTTGCCCCTGACTTATTGCAGGTGACTCCTTTTTTTATTACAACCCATCCCACACACCTGTGCGGGTGCACCCCTTCCGGGGCCTTTGATCCATTTGGGTTCCATCCTCTGGCCGGACATTTGGCAAAAGAATGGCCAGTGATTTGGTGCTCGGCAAATGAATGAATTAGTTCCTTGGAGACGACCTCGTGGCCGGGTTGATTGATGTTCTCGGGCTAAATCTGGGCGGGCAGAATCAAAATTTTTGTTGCCCCATAATAAATTGTAATTGGTTAAAAATACACTTTAAATATTTATTTTAATTCGGAATTGATATATCGCATTGCTGCGGGCGATGAGCGATTTATGCGTTTGCATTGAACTGTGAGATAAATGGGAGAAACCCCACTCGAAAACGCATAATGAAAAAGCGCTGGCAGCGGAAAATGTTTACAATATACGAGCAGAGCCTCCGGGGGGAAAACGGGGCATAAATATTGATAAACATGCATAGTTTTCCCCCGGTGCGTAGATCGGCATTGGTAGATCTCCCCCGAATCGAATTTTTAATGAGGCTAAAAGATTTGGCAATTTGGTATTCCAAACCCCAATGACCAAAATGGAAAATCGGCACACGTGCTCCAGTGCCAGCTTATGCGTGGGGATCGATGAATGTATCGGGTCGGATCGGATAGGATAGGATCGGACTGGATCGGCTGTGGCTTTGGCTAGTTTTCTATTAATTACACTGATTTATGTTCTCATTGTCCATTGTATTGGCGACCCAATACAACCGGCTCAGGGCTCTCTCTCTCTCTTCGCCCTGACTTTATGATGGTTAACTTTTTTAATGGTACTCGGGGGAGGGAGTCAGCGTCCAGCGTCCAGGACGAATCGAGGGGAAAGCACTTTTCCATTGTTATAGTTCGGACCAAAAGAAAGTTGATTACAATTCTCGATTTTGCCGGCCGTAGATGCCAGCAGATAAATAGGGAAGTTTGCCGGAATCTACTCATGACCAATTTAAGAACACATTAGCCACCGGTCCGAATTGCATTTGCAGTTGTGCGATCTGTTGGTTAATAATTTCTAATCCATATTCGATTTGCAAGTCCCCATTCAAAACAAAGTCGATAAATATGGAAACATAGGCACAAATAAAATCATCTAATATTGTTGGTTTCTTTAAAAAAAATAAAATGGATAAGATCCTACCTTGGTTTGTAAAAGAAAGATAACTTATTTTGTTTACTTTTAAACGATTCATGCAACATGAGACGTTTATTTACTTAGATAAAGAAACTCACTTGTTGTTAATACTTATTCATATAAAATGTAGTTAAAGGTTAAGGTTAAACAGGTAGGGAAAATCAAGTAGAGTCAGTCAACACTTTTCTCCTACAGCTATAAATAATTATATTATCACCCACATTTATTTCTAAGAGCATTACAAGAGAAATGTTCCAACCTAAGCCTAAAAAAATATGAATGAATTATAGAGTTAGAAATATGTCAGTATATAAAATCTTAGGGAATTTATATTCTATCATAGATTTTTTCGTTTTAAGAATACATTTTTTAGTTACAAAAATTTATTTTGGGAACTCAGTAAAGTTTTTATGACATTATGCTGCATTACATAATTATTGCTGTTTGGATAGCACAAGGGGACAAGTACTTTGTTCGGAGTATCTACTACATCTATCTACATCCAATCTTATTAAGCCAATATACCATAATTCATAATTTCAAGTAATATTAGGAAAATATATTAATTAAAGATTTATAAAAAGTAACTAAGCTTACTTTTATTTGTGGTCTTAACTCAGTAAATGCCTAAAGTATGTTGATATATATAATTTCCAAATTAAATGTAATATTTGGTTGTATGTTAATACCACCTCGGGCGACATAACTGCAGAGGCCCATCCTCGGTATCATTCCACACTTTTCCCACTTGAAGCAAACAAACAAACATCGGACGAGATCCCATAGTCGAGAGCTCTCCGCAGTTTTATGTATCTTTGGGATGTGGACGAGCCGCGATTTGTGGTATTTTGATTCCGCTGCTCTGTTTGTCGATATTTGAATTATTTCCATCGCCACTGGCCCTGCAGGGGGTGGGAGTGGATGATGATGATGGGGCTGTGATTCCTGGTGCAGGCCACTTTTTGGCCACAATTGTGTGGCCTGTGCCCGTGCACAGCCTCATAGCCCCACAGCCTCAGTAAAAACCCCTTCCGATCCGCTGGTTGCCCCTTGTTGTAAATCAATTGGACGCTGAGTGCCCCAATGTGCTGTCGATGGGTTTACAATCCGTCAAAACAGTTGGCATGGGCAATGGAACAGCAAGTCCACCTCTCCCTCCGCCACCAGCGACCTATTAGCGAGTGGTCCAAATAAACAATCAATCCGGAGAGTGTTTAAGTGCCTTCTACGAAAACAATAAAAAGAAATCTAAGCACCGCCAGCTACTATAGCATAATTAGAAGAATGTTCTACAAAGTGCTTTAAATAGATATCTTCAATGTGGTTGCTATATTTTTATAAGCTACCGAAAGTCTAAAGAAGTATCTGTTTCGATATTTCATTAGAAATTAATTGTATTATAATCGAATTTTCAGAAATGAGCTT